CCAATATTTCTCACAGGGTAAGAATCAGTACCCACGGAAGAGGAAGCTACAGGATCTAATTCAGTTTCCGAAGCACTTCAGTTTCACTCCACCCACGCTCAATGAGAAATGAATCATCTGAACATATGGATGATCCGGGCTCAGGAAGCACATTTTCACCGACGCTTGGGGTAGAAAGGCAACCACTTGCGGAAGGCGATTCTGTGGGCTCAAATATTACATCTCTACCTGGTTTTAATAAAGAAGCACCCGCAGAAGTGGATGCTTCTGACTCCCAAACCAAATGACCACCATCACCTCCACTTGCAACACCTTCACTTCCACTTGCAACACCATCAGCACATTGCATTTCTAATAATCTTTTAAATTTTTTCACATCGGACTCAAATGCCCTTTTTTCTTTTGTTATGCAATTTTGCAAGTGCCTTTTATTCATTTTACTTATCTTTCTTAAATTCCGCTTCTGGTAATTCCACCTTTTTAATATTTTAATTTTATCCACTCGCGCGCTTTAGCAGCTTACTTTTCTTTGATTTCTTTTTAAAGTTCTTTCTTAATAAAAAAATGCAACTCTGTCGAATGTATTAGTTGTTTCACTCTTGCATATACATAAAAAATTGTAACAATGGTATCTTTTTAACCAACGCAAGAATATTAGAAAGGTTTGCAAATGTGTTAATGAGATAAATGAGAATGTGTTAGTTTCCATCACACAATTCTTGTAGGGAACACACGCACTTGTGTTGATAAATAATTCGCTCGTTCTTCATTGGGTATGCATTTTTTTATGCACTCAACTGCCGCAGAACAAAACCTACCAAAGTAGTTAATTGCTGGTACCCCAAATCTTGCTCAACAATCCCGCTTGATGCATCACCACTTCTCCGGAGTGGTTTTAAACAGCAAAAGCCAAAGCGCTACAAGCTGTTGGGGCTCTTTATGACTTTCAGCATACAGAGGTGGTACAAGAGCTACCATTGGCCACAGCGCCTACCCAATTTTTGAACTTGAATCAATAACCAGTGCTCAACACTCCCGCTTGACGTACACCCCCAAAAACTCTTACAGAGGTTAAGCGGCAAAGCCACAGCGCTACAAGCTTTAGGGACTCTGCATGACTTACAACCATGCAGAGGTGGTAACTGATGGTTATCATTGGCTCCGACGCCTACCCAAAACATTTTTGCTTTAATAAATTTTTATGCAAATACATTCATCCTGGGTCTGCCCTCTCACTGAGTTATTCAGTAAATTTCGAAGATTGATCGAAAGGAAACGGAACGCAGAATACCAAAGTTGCCAAACGGAGAAAATTTCGATTCGAGTCGAAATGCAGAATAGGGCTGATTACTTTGTATGCACAGTATAAGAAATACCTACAACATACAATACCTACATTAAAGGTATACAGCACAAACCATTGTAATGAGGATAACTGTCTGCGGATGGACAAAAATGGTATAAAAGGAGCAGTGCTAACAAGCATTGTTCATTAGCTAGGCATACGTGGCACGCGTCGCAACGTGGGTCTCACGGGTAGTGGAAGAGGGATCAAACCTCCGAGACTATTAGTATATATTCGAAGTGGGCTTTAACCACTGAGACTGGTGCTAGCTGTAGGGTTTAAACCTACTCTAGTTCTATACTTTAGAGATTGGATATAGCGAGAGTACAGCAAATAAAGAGGCTATAAACGAGAAGCGAGTGTGTTCTAATTTCTTCAGGAGATAGGGTGTTTACTCCTTACAGGACCCTGGACAACCGAGAGCTACGCCCAGCACTCAAAAAAGTCCGTTACTAATGGCGCCCGAGCAGGGACTGGAGAAAAAAAGCGAAGTGAAAAAAGGAGAACACAAGTGATAGAGACACAGAGTTCAGTGACCACCCGAAGAACCCAAACTCAAGAAGCAATAAGGGCACAAGTGGGAGAGGCAAAGTGCAGTGACCACCCGAAGAACTACTAGTAGGCGGTCCAGTGAGAAAAAAACAGTGTGAAAAAAAATGGTGAAGAGAAAGTGGGTACATTACCTCAACCGAGAGGAGCTGCTGACCTATATGGCAGAGTTCGGTCTCGAACAGACCGGAACAGTCGAAGAGATGCGAAGACGCTTCTCTGCATTTATACAAGAAGAGAGTAACAACGAAGACTACCAAACGCGGTTCGAAGAGCTAGAAGCGAAACGCTCGAAGCCTGCGCTGATTGTTACCGCAGCAACACCAAGTGGAAGCCAGGGACCCAGTGTCATGCAGTCACTAATGCCCGTTGACGCGTTTGAGACACCACAACCATACGCCACGTATCCTACGACATCACTGGCAACCATCATGGATCGAGTCCGTAAGTGGGGTTTCAAATACGACGGCGGCCGAGACCCGCTCAGCTTCATCGAGCGTGTAGAAGAATTGGGGGAAGTATATGAGGTGAATCGCGACTTTTTACCGCGAGCAATGCCAGAACTACTTAAGGAGAAGGCGTTGACATGTTTCTGCAACAATAACCGGAATTGGCGACAATTGGAGGACTTCAAAAGAGACTTTCTAAGGTTCTTCTTAAACTCTCGCTACCACGAAACCTTAGACGATGAGATCCGTCGTCACGTCCTACAACCGAACGAGAAATTTAAAGTCTACTGTTGGCGCTTCAGAGTTTGATGCGACCCGCGAACTACACCTCAGAGCAGAAGCTGACGCGTAACTACAGAAACTCTAGAAGCGAATCAAATCAAATGGTACGTCAAACGATCCGAGTTCCCCACTCTAGAAGAGCTAGTGAGTTTAGCGGAAGATATGGAAAATATCCCCCCGGTGAAAGAGCCACAGAGAGCCGCAGCGCGAACCACTCCGCGGGTCACGGAGAGATATCAGCACATGCGCGAACTGCGTAGGAGTGACGAGACGGCTAGAGCAGAGAGAACACAGCGCCGACCTGAACCACACAGCGGTGTGGCAACACCACAGTCGGAGTACATTAATCCGTGGACTGCGTGTAGACATTGCGGATAAGATGGCCATTTTGCGAGAGAGTGCAGAGCTGCACGGAGAGAGTTTTGTTGGACCTGTGGTCGATGCAATGTCCCGACTCGAGAGTGCTGCCGTAGTGCATCGGGAAATGGGTCGAGGTCCCATTTGCGGTGCGGAGTGGGGCGTCAGGTAGAACAGCCTCGCCCAAACTAAAGAGTGTCCTAAGGCAGTCGGATGACCGAATTATGGCGGCGATTAGAATAAACGAGGTCGACGTAGTAAATAGCTGCAGTTGATACAGGTGCAACAAGAAGTTTCTTGAGCGAGGCCATGTTTAAGAAACTGGATGTGGGAGAGGTTAGGAAGGTGAACACGCGTGTGGTAATGGGTGATGGGAGATCCAAAACGGTGCTGAAGGCTATAGCGGCACGAGTAGAGCTGGCGAATCAGGCGCATGAAAGCGATCTGGTTATACTGCCTTGGAACCGATTACCTGGCAAAATCGGGGGTCCGATTATGTTGCGGAGACTTAGACGTGACACTCCGAGAAAAGAGCTGCGTACAAGGAGTCGAAGCATTCACGGCGATACGCGAGGGAGGTGCAGAGAGGTCAGGTAAACGCGATGAACCCAAATCAAACCCCATGCCTACAGAAGCCGCGACAACCGACGAAGCGAGGGAATTCTTAAAGGTAGAGTTACGCAAATTTGAGATGTCTGGGATTTAAAGTATCGCCACTCATCGGATCGTCATGAAGGATGACCGGCCGATAAAGCAGAGGTATTTCCCGAAGAACCCGAAGATGCAGGAGATCATCAACGCGGAGATCGACGACCTTATCCAGAAAGGGTGTATTGAACCCTCACACAGCCCGCACAGCGTCCCAATAGTGTTGGCGAAGAAGAAGACCGGCAAGTGGATACTCTGCATCGACTACCGACAGCTGAACGAGCGTTCAGTGCCCGACGCGTACCCCCTACCGAACATCCAACATATCCTTGATCGACTACGAAGCGCGCGTTACATTAGCAGCCTAGACCTGAAAAACGGTTACTGGCAAATCCTAATGGAAGAGCAGAGCAAGCAGTACACTGCTTTTACAGTGCCAGGGCGTGGCCTTTATCAATGGCGAGTAATGCCCTTTGGGCTACACTCCGCCCCCGCGACTTTCCAGCGTGCGTTAGACCAAGTCATCGGTCCAGAGCTAGAGCCGTATGCGTTTTCCTACCTGGATGACATCATCGTCATCAGCGCAACCCTGCAGGCTCACGTCCAACATGTTTCGGAGGTCTTCCGACGACTTATGCAGGCGAATCTGAGAATCAACCCTGAAAAATTCGAGTTTTTCAAGAAGCAGTTGAAGTATCTGGGTCACGTCGTCAGCGAGGAGGACATTCACACCGATCCTGAGAAAGTCGCGGCTATCAAAGTGCTGACACCACAAATATAAGAAAGTTACGCAGGTTCCTAGGGGTAGCTTCATGGTATCGAAGATTTGTCCCCGACTTTTCCAAAGTGGCACATGCGCCGACGTCCATGCTGAAGAAGGGCCACAAGTGGTAATGGAACGATGAGCAACAGACAACTTTCGAGGCGCTGAAGAGCGCGTTAACTGATGCACCAGTGTTGGCTTGCCCCGACTTTACGCAGAAGTTCACTCTACAAACGGACGCGAGCGACTTCGGGCTGGGAGCTGTTCTCACGCTAGAGATTATTGGAGAAGAACGCGTAATCGCATACGCGAGTCGCCGGCTCAACAAAGCCGAACTCAATTATTCACCAACAGAGAAAGGGTGCCTGGCCATAGTGTGGGCGATCAGGAAGATGAGACCCTACCTGGAAGGATACACGTTTAATGTCATCACCGACCACTTAGCGCTCAAATGGCTGAGTAAGAGAGCCCATCCGGTCGGATTGCAAGGTGGGCGCTGGAACTGCA